GAGCCATTGTAGACTTCTGACCTTACCCAATCTCATACTCTGAAGGGACGACCAGGGCAACTTCCCCACTTGGTCTCTTGGTATCCCCTCCCTCTTTTCCCATCTTAAGGCTAGGGGAAGGTCCAGATGGGTCGATCTTCTCCTCAGCCTATAACCCAGTCTCGTTGTATCTGTCTCTTATACACATCTAGATGTGTATAAGAGACAGGGTGTTAGTGGTGTTTGCTCTTATCAAAAAAACTAACCTTGGGAGGGTTTTTTTAAAAAAAAAAAAAAAAAAAAAAAAAAAAAAAGATCAACCACTAGGAATTGAACCTCTGACTTGCCACCAAAGAGGTTGATCACTTAACCAATAGGCAAAGCAAGCTGGGGTGAAATTGGAGCGCCGTGGTGGGCATTTCTTGCCACCCCAGCATGAAAGACATTGGAAGTCCATCCATGACCCCAGCATGGTACCCAGTATAGGGCCCCGCCGAGTCAGAAACTTTCGAGCATGGTGCCCGGAAGGTTGTATCTTGCAAGGAATTGTGGAGTGAACAAATGATGGAGAAAAAATTCTGAAAAATCAATGACAAATGATATGTACTCTCACGCATAGAGGAAACAATTAAGATTGGTTCCAAAAACTAGCTTGTTAATTAAACCTCCACTACCAGTGTAACTGTTGATAGCAGACCTGAGTTCGAATCGAGAAAAAAAGGAACAGCAGCGAAGAGAAAACACCCAGACAAAAAAAACAGCTAGAACACCAATGCAAAAAAGACCCCTTTTCGTCAAAGAAGTCCCATTTGTTGAATCTCTTGTTCACTCTTTTTTGTTTTGTAGTTTTCTGAGGAAGCCACCTCCCAAGCTCCAAGCTTCTTCAAACTTCAGATCTGAACAACCGCAGACCGAAACACCCTCAGACCCAAAAACCTCAGACACTCCCAGACCCAAACACCCCCAGCTACTGCCAGGCACCCTGAGGCCGAAACAGCCCCATACCCAAAAACAACCCCAGACCCAAACACCCCCAGAAAGCCGCACACCCAAACACCCCCAAACATCACCAAACACCCCCAAACTCCCCCAAACACCCCCAAACACCCCCAAACACCCTCAAACACCACCAGACCCAGACACCCTCAGACACCCTAGACCCAAAAACTCCCAAGCACCCCCAGACCCGTTTTCTATTTGACTTCGTGCAACGCATTATATTTTACGACTCAGCTCCTCAGCTGGGATCTTTGGCGGACCGTGGGATAGCAGGGCCTTAAGGTTTTTCAGTGAGGCCTTAAGAAAATGCCGTTTGTTTATTCTTTTTTATTAATCCACCCTCTTCTGCTTCACTGCTAATAAACGACGACCCGTTTACTTCCGTGCATGGGATTGTGTTTCACTTGACTAGAATCTATGATCCTTTGTTTCAGCCATTGATGAAACAAATAACGATACATGGGCACACCTTGCGGGTATGCATGTACTAAGCTGGGAATTTTTTTTTTTTTTTTTCTTTCCCAAAAACAAATGCTCCATCTATTGGTGGGAGAAGTGCTCTGGTGATACTGGGAAAAGAGTTCTTAACTTTGGTATCACGGTGCACTTAAGTTTAAAATTTCAAAGTACCGGGCTGGAAACCGTTGGGCAGAAGAGAGAGAGAGAGAGAGAGAGAGAGAGAGAGAGAGAGAGAGAGAGAGAGAGAGAGAGAGAGAGAGAGAGAGAGAGAGAGAGTTTGTGTTATTCTACTAAGTCCTGTGTGAGGCATCTGCTCTATGGCACAACATTTTTGTAACTGTGTGAGTCCTATTTAGTCGAAGTTCTAGTGAGTTTGTGTTTATACTAACTTTATAAGTTTACACCCTTCATGCCTCTGCATTTTGAATCTTTTTTATCTTTTTTATCTTTTTTTTTTAATCTTGCATTCTCTATTTCCAATCTTCCTGAACATTTCCACTCGGGATGGCGCTCTGCTAAGTACGGAGTTTGGTGGATTGGAAAGTTTGAATACAGTGAAGTTAGTGATTTGTGGGATTTTGAAACCTGTATTGGTTTTTGCAGCTTCTACAGTTGAGAAACTTGAGAGCATTTTTATAATATTTGTTGCAGCTTCAATCATGGAGAGAGTTCAGAAAATGAAGGGCGGCAGAAAGAAGAAAAAGAAAGGTGGGCAGCTAAATCCTCCAAAGCACACTGATGAAAGGCACTGACATAGAGCATACTCACACTGGGGGTAGGACTGGGATTGAGGGGAAATGCATTGAATTGCTATGTAGGCTACTTGGCTCGCCTGGTCGTGCAGCATGGCGATGCACCCCAAGCAAGTCGCCCGGGTCACCTGCTCGGGGCACCCCGTGCAGCCAAAATTCAGCCCTTTATTTTTACTTGCTAAGTGCCCGCGGTGCGGGTGGTGCGGGCTATGCCTGCAGAAATAACAAATGCAGTGGGTGACCTCACACTGCATTTCGGATGGCTTGCCTCCAAGATGTTCATCCGCAGAAACAACGACGGCCTACCAGAGGGCACAAAACGACAGCCGTGAGAGAAATGAAAAAAGAAGGAAGGAAAAGAAAAAAAAACAAAAAAAAGGGGGGACACAAAACGAGAGGCGCAAGAAATGAAAAATGGAGAAGGGGGACACAAAACGACGGCCAACCGGGGAAAACAAAACCAAAGAAAAGCCGCCTGCATATCGGATGGCTCGCCTCCAAGATTTTGTCCGCATCAACGCCAGCCGTGTGCCCCGCCCTGGGGTGCGTGCTCTCGTTCAATGGCGCGCTGTTAACATTTCGGTACACGCACCTCTCTGTACACTCCTCCACCCTCGATCGGCTTCATCCGCTGCCCCTCACCAAAACGTCGACCTGAATCCAGCGTGCAGCGCGTCATGGACCTCCCCCCGCGACCAATGCTGCTTAAGGGATAGGATTTATTTTTTTCCCCGTGGAGGTTTTCCTCACATGGCGAGAGGAGCCCACATCAGGGCTCCTTTCTTTTTTCGAGTGTTGCCTGTGAAGGAGTGGGAAGGGGGGTATAAATTGTTTTTTGAGGGGCTAAAGGGGTTTAAAAGGGGGTCCCTTGGTCTGATTCTGCTGTTTTTATGTTTATCTTAGATTCCCTGAGGAATTCAGATGTGACCCTCAGCCGAAAGTCGTACTTTTTTGCTGGAATTTTTGGTGAAATTTCAAATTGTTTGATTTTTTTTTTTTTTTTCTTCTTTCTGCCGCTGGGGCTGCCCGGAACCCCGCCCCGGCACCTGGGCGTGTATGTGGGCACAAGTGGGTTGCCCGTTTGCCCGGACAAACAGCCTAGTTGAATAGCCCTAGCGTAAGTAGGACATTACTTTCCCAGTAAATTTGAAACTTGATAGTTTATGCTTTACTTGCATACCAGCCACTCAGCTATAGATTAGAATCAGGCACAGGGCCTGTTCTTTCCCCCCCAATAAGAAAGAAAAAGAGGAGGAAAAGCAAAGGGACAAGTAAAAGAGGGGGGCCAAAAAAAGGGGGAATGGCTCAAACACCAGGGTTTGTTCCTCTTTCAGTGAACATGCAACAAAAGTCACAAAACCATAAAAAATATTTAGGCTATGAAAAGACACCTCCCTGTAGTGGAAGGTCAGGTTCATGGCCAGCACCTAGATGTCTGTTGAAGGTGAGCCCATTTAAAATGGCCTGATTCCGCGACTTTTTGTTTGTGTTGGAGGTTGAATAGAAGACATGCATCCAAACAAGAAGCGTGTGTGGAGCACTGGCTTTTTTAAGTCCCCGCCCCCCCCCTCCCCCCCACACACACAACTGCAAGAATTGGTATCTGTTTCACACAAACTTTCATCTCTCTTTGCATTTTAACAGTCCCACTTATACCTGCCCTCCTGAATCCGTTGCGGATGTCCTTGGCAGCCATGCAACATGGGATCACAATTGGTGTTACTGGTACCATTACACCCATACTGAAAAGCTGCTGTGCCTCTACTCAGTTCTCAAAGCTCAGAAAAAGTGGCTGTTCGGGGCTTCCCTGTCATTCATTATCTAAGCGCAACCTCCAAGTAACTGTTCAACATCCTTCTTTCCCACCACCTGGTGTATTAACTGTGCAATTGACCAGATCTGAACAAATTTGTAGCGACTGGCAAGTCTTTCAAACTGCAGTAACAACACTTACTCACCGAATGCTTTCTTGTGGCATTCCCATCGACCCCTGCTAAGGGCTGCACCTGCGCTTAGCAGCATGTGATGCGTCTCTCTCAGTAGTTCCAACCCATGCTCTGATGGTCACTGCGTCATCCACTTTCTTCCTCGCCCCCACAGGGCTCTTGTCTTGCTCCCACTTGCTCATCTGCTACCGTCCTCACCTGAATCCAACGCCCGGTCATTACAGCTTTATTGGGGGCAACTTTCCGCCTAGATACGGCGATAATGACAGGGCGTTCTATTCGGGTGAGGACGGTAGTGATAGACCCAGGTTTCCACTGCTGCAGCGTCCTTTACTACAGTTTTCACTTCTCCAGGTTCTTTTTCCCCATTTACCACTTCTCCAGTTACCTCTGTTGGAGTTACCACTGCCGCAGTTACTGCTGCTGCAGTTACCTCTGTTGCAGTTACCACTGCTACAGCTTCCTCTGCTGCAGTTCACTGCAGAAAACACCACAACCTCCCTGACATGCTTATTTCAAAATTCAAATCCTTGCCCAATCAACTCCCAACTTCTCTCTGTCTGTGCTTGGGCACGGGCGGCTTCATTCCTCCTTGCCGCCTCCATCTCCTCGATGGTCTTGCTTATCAGTCGACTCTTCTATTCCCACTGTTCAAACCTTATTGCCGGGGAGAGATGCTCATCTCCAGTTTGCCACGCCAGAACTGGAGAGGCTGTTAACGGAGGCCTCAAATTTCAGACAACTTCTCATGCCTTTTATAACAAAACCCAAAGGTCATTTTAACCAAACTTGCCACCAATTCATAGACTGGAGATCATACTAACTACTTGCAAAAAAAAAAAAAAAAAAAAAAAAAAAAAAGTTAAAAAAAACCTATAAAACAGCAAGGCAAAAGTGCACTTTCATGACACTGCGCTAATTTCGTTGATATCCTCCACGATCTCTGTGCGGTCTAGATGCTACTAATGCATGTCTAGTATGTCTACACATTCTCCACCACCCTCCCTATATGGCGTCAGACTTTCTTGCAATTGCCCTTCAGCTTGATTGTGATCTTCCCTGCCTACCGTCTTCACCCGAATAGAACGCCCAATCATTATCACTGTATTTGGACTTAAATTTGCCGGAAATACAGCTATAATGACCGGGCGATCTATTCTGGTGAAGATGGTGGAGGTAGAGGGTAGTAACTCTGTCATGGAAGGAGCCTGGTTTTCAATTGAGGTCGTAAAAGTGGCAATGAGGGACTACCAACTTGAAATGCGCCATGCTCAACTCGGTGAGTGCTTCAGCCGCCATTGCTCATCTCTGCCTGTGTTGTACATAGAACCTGGTCATTATGTGGTCATTGTCCATGCTTCTGACCACTGGGACCTGCGCGACAACAGCTCTATGGTCTATGCCATGATTGATGTCAGCGATTTCCTTTGCAACGGTAATGTTCTCTTGCCTCAGCAAACCTGTCGTACACTCTTGTAGGTCAAGGATGACTTCGCTGCCCCTGTGCCGCAGCAGGACAATGAGTCAACCCTCTGTGACCTTCCCCTCTACACAGCTATACATACCGTCTTCGCCCGAATAAAACAGCCGGTCGTTATAGCCGTATTTGGTGCAACTTCCAATCTACATAGACTCTGAGCGATAACGACCAGGCATTCTATTCGAGTGAAGACGGTAGTACAGTCGGCTGTAGGCATCATTGTCTCTCCAACACTAACTGCAATGCCATGGTTTCTGCATCCGTGTGTGCTTCCCCTCCTTTCCTGACTATGTGCACCCTCCACATCTGCGCATCATATTAAATATATTTTCGTAGACCCGCAGATGGAAAGGCCAAACCACGGTTTCGGTGTGCTTCATGCTGTCTGCCATTTTCTGGATTTATTTCTCAAATTGCCTTCTTTAGTTCATGGACATGTATTGATAACATTTGACGATATATATATATATATATATATATATATATATATATATATATATATATATATATATATATATATATATATGTTTGTGACGATATATAC